AAGGTGATCTGGATCAGGATAAATGATCCAAGATCACTCGAATCTTGGTGCATCAAAGGAACCAATGATACCACTCTGAGCAAGGATTCGTCGGTTCATTTTGCTGCACCATAATCCGAGTGATCTTAGATAAGTGACCTTTATTTAGATGATGCTAAACAAACGTGCACCAAATCTTTTTCAGTCTGAAACAACACAGAATACCACCGACGGAAAAGGAAACTGCTCGGACCAAGGAGACAAATCACCAACAAGAAAACCCAAAGCAGTTATTGACGAATCTAACAATGCCTACGGCTCCCTAAACAAGACTGATGGTCTTGGAGAACACACCTATGCCTCCCTTAACAAGGCAGGCAGTGGGGATAACAGCAGCGGAACCAGCGACAACAATAACAGTGCAGGGTATATCGCGATGACTGCACCTGTCTCTAACGGGGGTATTGACAGGAGCGGGGACAGAAGTCCAGGGGCAGACAGCAAGAGTAAAGACAGTGGGTCCTCGGATGTAAATTCCGGGCGAGCTGGTAAAGGTGGAGAGGTGAGGAAACTAAATGAAACCTTAGATTTGAGCCATGTGTTCCATGCGCACTAGCAAGTACTTAGCACTTTTTCTCGTACAAATTTTTATTCAGAGCCCAAACAGTGGATCCAAGCCTAGAGGGGCCTCTCTCATCAAAGCCGACGCTGGCCCGAAAAGCGGAGAAAGAAGAGGTTCGAATGTTTATTACGCATCTATCGATGATGATGTACCGCTGACTCATAAGACAGGAACTGTGGGCATTGTGGCGCTAGCGATTAGGAACAAAAATGAAACGAAAAAAGAGAGAGAATTCAAGGTGAGTATATATTAAAACATTACCAGTGATTCTCAAGAAGAGAGAACTCTTAACTGATCTACTTATACAACAATTGATTAGTTACATTTTATCACACCTTTTATAGGAAAGATATGTTTACAAACGTTTTTGTCCAAATTTCGAGACTGAAACAAAAGAACTCTTCGTTTTAGCAGCCAAAAGTTCTATTGTTGGCACATTAAGACGAAATCCGATTTCAATTTCAATTTTTAGCAGACAAAAACCTTGTACTAGAATAACTTTAAGTGTATTACAGTCCTTTTTGCATTTGCCTGAGACAACACCAAAAACAGTTTTCTATGGGAAGTCGAGGAAAAAAATTTCAAAGTTCAGAGAAATTCTGCAAACACAGGTAGAATTTCATCATCAGTTTCATTTCACCAGTACTTTCAATTGTTTCATATGAACTTCAACATTTGTTTTCGACAATTTTTGCTGTTAGAAATGATGATCTCTTTTGAGAAGATATTTAGAACAGTTTCACAGAAGTTTCCAATGTAATGGAAATAATCTTGGTACCAAGTTTTCTTCCACTTGTTACTCGAGATTCTGGTGGACTCACTCTTAATAACAACAGGTGGCGTCACCAATATCTTAGCTATAACAAATCGAAGGAGGCGTTTATCTGAAAAAAGTCTTGGTCATATGGCCTGCAGCAGCTAGGGATATTAAGATATTGATAAGCTTGGGTTCCATGTTTGCCTTGTAATGTAGAACCTAGACAAAGACGTGCTTAATGAAGCGGTCAAGTACCCACCTGAAACCGCCAGTAAAAACAGATTCCCGGATGTTCTACCAGGTGAGTGGGCCCTCCATTGATAACAATAAATGTGTCGCACATTGGCCATTATCTTAAACAACCCGTTTTCCGAGTTGTCTGGTTTGTCTATACAGCTCAGTAATCTGAAAAGGAGCCTCGATTGTGTTTCCTTAGAATAATAGAAACGGTCACTCCGTCGCTCGCCTTCAGTGTTAACCCTCGCGTTGGACGCGGTTTGACGTGTTGCGCACAGAAAATAAGTTTTCCCATGCCAGTGCAACCAGAGTTGTCATTTTCGTCAAGCTTGTACAGTACGGTGCAAACACTAAAGAAACGGGATTGATCCCAGCGTCAAATTTTCCGGCAACGATTGAACGAGGATCAAACTTAATAAAGTTTGTTATATTATTTATTCATTTTAGAATTGTGTCGAATGCGAAAATAATGGAATGAGAGAGTGTTGTGAAATTTTCACGGCTTTTGGCCACCTCTATTTTTCTGTTCCACTCACTCTTATTTATATAGCATAAAACACATATTAAGAATAATCAAACGTAAAAGATTAGGGACGAAAAATAGAATAACACCCATAATGTTATGCTTTATCTTGGATAACACTATACACGTTTCAGTTAATTCTTGGTTATGTTTTGGGTACGACTGATCTTCATTGCCACTTTTTATTGTGCAGCTCCCAGAACTCGAGTCAAGTTATCCACTTCTCCCGATTACATCAACGCAAACTGGATCAGGGTAAGGATATAAATCAATCAGTCAACCAGCCAATCAATCAATCAATCAATCAATCAATCAATCAATCAATCGATCAATCAATCTACCAATCATTCAAATGAAAGTTGAAATTTCAGTAAGCTCCTAGAGCGCAAAGTTGAAAAGTTAGCCTAGAGAAAACTAAAGCTATAACGGGAATCGTATCCATGCCCGGAACGATACTTCTGCAAATGTTTCACCAAACTGAACGGTGACGCAGCTGGGAGTGCCAATTATTACAAGTTTTAATTACATCTGTTAAATTTTGAGGATAGGACATTACCTTTAAGACTTTGAACTAAATCGTATACTGTATATAAAATGCGAACAAACGATGCATATCATAAAAGTAGAGACCACACTTGCATTGTAAATGCGAGGGATAGTATTGCAAATAAAACCATGGTTACTTCAGCATCGTGCACTACCCTTTGTTGATCATGAACGCCTCTCTTTCACCTTTAAGGACCACAAAGGGCAGATATCCTACATAGCTACCCAGCATCCTCTGCATGAGACCACGGAGGATTTCTGGCGAATGGTCTGGGACCAAAAAGCGCATACGGTTGTCATGGTGAACGATGAGGAAAAAGAAAAACCGGTAAGACTGGCTGTTATAGGTGGAGAGGAAATGGCTGCCAAGAGAGGTGTCATTAGAAAATTCTCGATAGGGTTCCCTAACCAACCCCTCCCCTTACTCGCCAAAAAAGTCTGTTTAATTCCCAGTATATGAAAAAATCTTTAACCACTCTCCTTAACGACTAAGCCACAGGAAAATGAAAACAGACACTTATTTTCGTGCGGTTAATTGTTGTTTCTCCTTAAGGCTGAATTCGTGGATTACCTGCCAAAAGGACAAGGAAACTCAAAGCAATTTGGTGGCATCAATGTTACAGTCAAACAAATAACAGAAAAAGCGGACTACCTTTTGACTGTTCTGAGCATCGTCGAAGGAAAGGTGACGCACACCAATTTTTTGCGGTCTAATTAAAGTGATTTTAAAAATATTTAGCAATTGAAATGACCCAAAACATTTAGCCATCCACTCATAGCACGCGTTATACTGCCTCATCTTTGTAAGGTTTAAACATGTCGTTCAGCCAATCAGCACGCATGATATCAACACATAAAATTGTAATATCGAGTAATATTCACTTTGGCAAAGTTTAATTAGAAACTTGTTATTTTATTTGCATTTTAGAATGCAGCCTCCCCGCGTGAAGTCTCGCACATGAGATTCACGTCGTGGAAGGAGCGCGCCATGCCCAACGTGGCTCTGTTTGTTGCTTTCGTGACAGCCACGAGGGAAGCGAGGAAGAAACATGGCCACACCAAGGCTCCGACCATTGTACACTGCAGGTTAGAAATGGAAACTGAATTCATGTCAGCCCAGCGTAGCAAAATGTAATCCTAAACTAGTTTTCTGAATTTCCTCCGCATTTTTACCTCAGTCATAGTAATTAGAGAAAGCTCAAAACGAGTATGAGAGAGTTTTCAGTGAATTTGACCGCTAAACAGAACAACGTTCACTCGTCTTTCAGTGATGGTCTTGGTTTCAGTGGCGTGTATATCGCTGTGGATATTGGTATAAAAAGCCACGAGGAGAGTAAAACATCAGTTGTTGATGTGTTTGAG